TTCAGTTTTCTACACACATGTATTAGCTTTTAGGTACAAGTTTTGATTGTAGTGAAGATTAGAATTCCTTTTTTTTAGTTACTGCTCATTCAGGTAATGCTTTTCCTGCATATTGTTCCCCCATGTACACAAATTTAAGTGATCTTAGAAATATATGAGCAGCCACACAGTATAAAATGTGTACATTTAAGGTGCCTTAAGCCAAAAAATCATATTATACGGTAGGATTACTTGTATTAAATATGTGTTTAGATTCCTCTGAATACTGTTCACAAATAGTAGTTCGGTAGATTTCACTTTCTGGAAACACATACTGTATGCCAGCCAATGTCACGCTGTAGAACCCCTGATGCCTTGGCCAGCCAGTAATGTGAGAGGTGTTAGGGTCATTGACAGGCCACATTCGTCATGTAACTGAGTTCTGATTTTTACGACCCAAATATGCTAAACACAGAGAAATGCAAACCTTCCTAATGTATAAATATATATTTAAAAAAATTAGTAACATATTTGTTAACTTAGAAGAAAGATTAACGAAGTATATATAACTTTTTCAGTCATTTTTTTATTTTTGTATGCCTTTAAGAGAATTTAGGAAATTGAAAATGAACAAGTGAAAATATAGGAATATTATTATCTGAAAGGCCTGTAAAAGAAATCAGATTGTTACCAATGTGATTTAAAGTTTAAAAAAAACTGTACCTATATGAGAGCATATATGTAGGGTTCTGCTCCTCGTTTTGCAGTGGAATGCACAATGGTTCTGATTTACTGCTCATTCTCACAATGCAAAGCTATGAGTGGACCAATATTGTAAATGACACAAATACAGATCCCAACTCCAGGATGTATATTAATGAAGGAACCTGATTCCCCCCTACTCGCTGTGCCCCTTCCTGCATGTATTTTGATTTTTTTGTTGTTCTTAAATACCTTTAAAATCTATTTATTACAAAGTTCAAGTGGCTGTGATTCTTCCTTCCAACTATTCAGTATTGGTCACTGAGAAGAGTAAAGCAGCATGCAGGCACCATATAGCAGAGACATGTACCACTCTGGGACAATATATCCAACGAGACATTGCATCTGCCTCAGTGGTGCGGATGGGCTGATGTTGTGGTGGCACAACTTTATTATGAGCATGACTAGGCTCATTAGTTAGAATTACATACTGCAGTTAGTATAGCCCGCTCATTACAGTGTTGGATGTCACGTAACCTGAAGTTCAGATGCACCAACTGAAATGCAGTGTAGGTTGGAAGCTTGCAGTAGGGAAGAAATACACAAATTAACTCTGCTATTATGCAACCAAGATGAGAAGAACTATTTAGGATCATTCAGTGAGATGAGGCTAGAATTTGGCTTTGATATAACAAAAATGTGAATAGAAATGAATTCAAAAAGATCTGTCATTAAAATTTTTATTTTACTGTTCTATTTTGTATGGGGCAAACTAAACGAAATACTTTGTCCCACGTTTCTAAGTGCTCTGTAATCCTAGTTATGCAGTCCGGCCTTCCCTCCTCTGCTCCTGATGGGGCCAATTTGACAACAGCCATGAAGGAAATGGCTGATTCATAGCTGCAACTTCTCTTGGCTGTGAGCAAACTCCTGAGACATGAAACGTCAAGTAGAATTCAGACAGTGAGGGGGGGGGGGGGAACGTGTCAGTCAATACATTCCTCTTATTATTGCTTGTCTCAGGAAAGTGCTCACATTCGAGACAAGCTGCAGTTATGATTCGGCTATCTCCTTCATGGCTGTGTTCAAATCGGCTGCAGCAGGAGGGGAGAGGTCCTTGTCAGGCTTCATAACTAGAGTTAGAAAGTGCCTAACAATATGGGAGACAGAACTATAAACTAAAAATTATAAAAATACATCTTCTTTAAAATGTTATTCATATGAAAATTACTGTAGTAATATCTCAAAATATGTACTTCCTAAAAATACATACTTTACTTGTAAACAGTAAACATTTCAAATGTACATTTTAAATCAGCTGACCTTATTTTTCTAATACATTTTATACATGATACATGAAGCTAAATCCTTGGTATCTTACTTTTTCAGATTCCAATGTGTACCTGCGCAGAGAACTGATCTGCTGGGGGGACAGTGTAAAGCTGAGGTATGGTGAAAAGCCCTCAGACTGTCCTTATCTGTGGGAACATATGAAAAAGTATACGGAGATCACTGCTAAGCATTTTCACGGAGTGCGCCTTGACAACTGCCACTCCACCCCAATTCACGTGGCAGAGGTAAGCAACATCATAACACTTTATGATCAAATAAATACAAGTCAGTAAGTGATGCCTGTCTAGTTATAAAAGAAAATTCTTCGGAGTGTTATTTTGATTTAACTCAGAAGCTAGTCATGTACTCTGAACCATGGTTGCAAAATAATATATTTAATGAATGCGTGGAACTTCAACCAAAACTTTTTCTTTTGGATAGAGTTAGGATGAGTTAGAACCACTCTCTATTTTTTTTATTGTTGTCTGTGTCCTCCTTGGAGGGATTTTCTTCCAATTGTTAGCAGGGCAAAAAGTGATTTGGATCTAACTAATTGTGCTACTGAGAGTAATCAAATAGTAAACAAAAGTTAAGCAATAAATAGGTTCTAAACCCCATACTAAAAAAATATTTTTCCTGCTGTTGTCTCATTTTCCTATCTGTCTTATTGTAGGTAAACATAAAAACTGGATGCTTTGTGGCAAAAGGACAGCATCATTTTATGTTGAAGGTGGTGGGCGTTCACGCTGAGCAGGCTCATATATGTGTACAGCTGGCATCACTGTTCTGTGCTGGGTGTCCACTCACTTGAAACCCTCCAGCACTGTGACTACGCTCTCATTGATAACTCCTGGTCACCGTTTACAATCAGGAGCCAGTGGGACACTGGTGCCGATGTCAATTTAACAGCCAATGGGGAAGCCCAAATAACACCTTAAACCAGCCCTAGATGGTTTGAATCTTGGCCAGTTCAGCAATAACCAGCTGAGATTCAAACCATCTATGGGAGCAGGCTGATTGTACCCAATTCAATTGTTATACGACTTGGGTACAACCAGCCTGTTGGAGTTATCAGGCTTTAGCTGCTAGCAATAATCACTGTGCTGTTCTGGCAGAGACAGCCCCCCCCCATGGAAAACAATAGCTCTGATCACTGATTGTGTTGATTGGGGAATTGAGCAGGATGGGGGTATCATTACAGGAAATAAAATCACATAATGTGTGGCCAGCTTTAGGCATTACAAACTAGCTGACTCCAGCTGGCTAGAAATGGTAGGGAATCCCTTAAATATTCTCAGTATGTTTTGACATTATGCCTTACCATATACAGTTTCATTCAGCAAATTGTTTTTGTGAATATGTTGCAAAGTTTCCTACCTGGAGATATTGCCAGTAAAGGCTCTTACTGTTGCAGTCTGACAACATTAAATTATAGGGATGCACCAATACCAGTTTTTTTATGACAGAGTATGAGTACTGATACTCAAGTACTCACCCATACCAATTACCGATACCTATTTTTAGTATCATGTGACAGTTTTTAATTAAATGTAATTATTTTTAAGTTTTTAACTTGTTTATTCCACTACACTTATTTGCTGTGCCTCTGCCCTGGTGGTATAGTGGTAGGCCAGCAAACATTAAACCAATCATTGCCCTTGGATGCATTTATTTTTTACACATAACACCCAGCTCATCTGCTTCTGCCCTGGTGGTGTAGCGGGGAAGCACTTGCTAGAGTTTCTGTGGTCCATATTTCACATCTCACACTGCCGCACCCTGATTGACGTGTGTGACGTCAGACATTCGGAAGCCACCCTTGTGCGACGTCCTTTTGCATCTCTCCCATAAAGGCAGCGGTTACAGTCTGCGAACTTGAAGGTATCAGTTTCATTATCGGAGCATTTGCACGAGTACAAGTACTCATGGAAATGCTTTAGTATCTGCACTGATCCCGGTATTGGGATTGATGCAACGCTACTAAATTACTACCATGCAATTAGTAACAGCATTGTCAGTCTACTATGTGAGATCCTTCAGTTGGCTGTTAAGTTGCTTGTCTGATAGACCTGTTGGCAGCCCAACAAAAAAACTGCAGGAGCACACAGAAGGCTGATAATACTTTTGCTAGTTAATAGGCCGAGGCTTAGCATTGCCAGCCTGCTAAAGAAAGTGCTCTTAGTGGCAGGATCTCCAGCTACAAAAATGTCTACGTACCAAATTCAGCTAATTCACAAAAACAATCACACCTACTGAAAAATAGATTTTAGATTAACATACATGTTTATTCAACACATACATTTCTCAGCGTGCTGTAAGGTCTCTAAATAACAATGTATACTTTTATTACTAATAAGCATATTTCGTAGGACATTCCCGATTCATATGCCCTTTTTTTTGCCAACAATACTCAATTGTTTCAAGTCACACCTACATTTACCTGACAGCTTTATGTCCTGGAATAATTTTTTTTTGTCATGTGGCTCTTTGCGTATGTTTAACGTTTTCCTAAAAGTTAGGAAAATATTTTACCACCCAGCTTTATTGTTATGACATTGATAAATCTGGTATTGTTTGTACGTTGATAGTCTAGTGATGCAGGGAGGGTATATGATTTTATATATTGAAAAATTACAATAATGTAATTTATATAGTGCTAAGTGTACGTCTATGATGTGTAAATCTAAACAATATTACACACGGCACTTTGTATCTATAGGAAATGCTGGCTATAGCCCGGTCAGTGAGGCCCAATCTCTATGTGATTGCTGAGCTGTTCACAGGCAGTGAATATATCGACAATCTGTTTGTCAACCGCCTGGGGATAACCAGCCTCATTCGAGGTATTCTGCTATGTGAAGCTGCTCTAATGTACTTTAATGCTGCAGACAAATACTAAACACTGCCATGTTTTTCTCTCTCCCTCTTAACTCTCTCCATCATAATTTCTCTATCTTTCCTGCCTGAATGTAACTTTCTGCTGTGCATCCTCTGCATGTGTTTCGGCTTCACTCTCTGCTCCGAACACCTGCGCCTAGTGCTCTGTTATCCCCCACTATATTTATCTCATCATCATCATTTCTCTGATTACCTTTTATTTTATATTCCTTTGTCACATACCACCTCCCCATACTCATCTTTGTTACTTTTTGATTGCTTCTTCATCATCTTTCCTACTATGTCATCTTACACTTTTATATTGCTTCATCTTATCCCCAACTTTCTTTTGTCTCTGGGTTCTTTTTCTCTCTCTTCTTTACTCTTGTAATTTTGGTTTCTACACCTTTATTCATCTCTCTTCCTAACTGCTTATAACTTGTATTCCTCATCTTCTGGTTTCCTCTGCTCTCTGCTGTCTTTTTCTTTCAAACTTCTTAAACTTGTTATTACACATTATCTGGTTTCCTCTGCTCTGTGCTGCCATCTTACCATTTGTACTTTTACTTGCTATCTCTTGGTTTCCTCTGCTCTGTGCTGCCATCTTACCATTTGTACTTTTACTTGCTATCTCTTGGTTTCCTCTGCTCTGTGCTGCCATCTTACCATTTGTACTTTTACTTGCTATCTCTTGGTTTCCTCTGCTCTGTGCTGCCATCTTACCATTTGTACTTTTACTTGCTATCTCTTGGTTTCCTCTGCTCTGTGCTGCCATCTTACCATTTGTACTTTTACTTGCTATCTCTTGGTTTCCTCTGCTCTGTGCTGCCATCTTACCATTTGTACTTTTACTTGCTATCTATTGGTTTCCTCTGCTCTGTGCTGCCATCTAACCGTTTGCACTTTCTCATCTCTTGGTTTTCTCTGTTCTGTCTTCTCCCTCTTTCTTTTTAACGGCTTGTACTTTTTATAACCCCTTCTTCTGGTTTCCACTGCTCTGTTCCCTTTGTCCTTCTTTCCATCCAACCACTTGTACATCTTACTTTCCTTTACGTGGCTTCCTCTGCTTTGTGCTTTGTCATCCTCTTCCCTCTCTCTGAACTCTTGTACTTATACCTACTATCTCTTGGTTTTCTCTGCTTCATGCTCTTCTCCTTCTTCCTTCCCAACCAATGGTACATTTTCTTCCCATTTTCTGGTTTCCATTTCTCTGTCCTGTTTCTCCTTCTCTCCATATAACCACTTGTACTTCTTATTTCCTATGTCCTGGTTTCCTCTGTTCTGTGTTGTCATTCCTTTCTCTCTATCTAATCATTTGTAATTTTTACTTGCCATCTCTTGGTTTTCTCTGCTCTGTTCTGTCTTCTCCTCTCTTTTTAACCACTTGTACTTTTTTATTCCCATCTCCTGGTTTTCCTCTGCTCTGTGCCTTCTTTCCTCTACTTGTGTCTCCTGCTCTCCCCTGGCTGTGCTGTTTGTAGTATTTGCTGGATGCTGCAAGGAAGTTGCGTCCGGACTTGTATGTGGTGGCTGAACTGTTCACTGGGAGTGAGGAGTTGGACAATGTATTTGTCACTAGGCTGGGCATTAGCTCCCTCATAAGAGGTAGGCGCTTTTTTTTTTGCATGTATTAACTCTGCACCAACTCCTGCTTTTCTAACAGGATCATTCTAGTTGGAAATGTAATGTATGCTTATTTGAAACACATTTGCCTTTGCAAATCCTCATACAATATACAGCATATTTTACAATAAATGACTAATCCCCAGCCAAGCTCTTTTTTTTTTAGTTTATTATAAAGCTGTGACTAGTTAGAACCTTTGTCAGGTTTTTATTAATGTCTGTGTTCCTCCTGTTGGAGAGACCTACCCTTGCTACCTGTCCAGTAAAAAGGTGAAACAAGGCAGAAAATTATGGGATATCTTTGTAGTTGGAACAGTGGCAACAACAAAAACACATTTATTTAAAAGAATGGGGAAGGGTTAGACAGATACATTTGTTAGGTTATTATTTAAAACTATGCATTCCTGTCCAGGTGACACTTGCACCCTTTAGTTATTTCTACTGGTGTCACCAGTGACGACGTAGATGGCACAAAAACCTTTGATACAAGTTCTGACCCTTCAATTTTCTATCAAAAACTGAAAAAAAAAATTGGCTGGAGTTGGGCTTTATACCACAATAAAAACATATATACAGTATATATTAAAAACAACTGTAAATGATAATTATGCATATATTTGTATCTTCTGGTAGTGTTTTATCATCTATGCTTTTTTTTTTTTTTTTTTGAATTGTGTTTCTGAAACACACGCTATAGCCTTGAACATTACCCAGTGGCTTGCTGTATATTCACATAAATATGTGCACTGATATTTCCACGTCCATAGGTTGCTATGATAAAACTTCCTTGTATTATTGTGACAGCAATTAGGACATTAAAAAATTGGTTACACCATTACAAGTGCTCAATATTTGTTAGATTCTGTGATATTTACTATAAATTCAGCAATCCATTAAAATGTATTACATAGTCTTGTTTTACACCTACTATTATAATGTGATAGATAAAAGATGACCTAGCAATTATACCTGTACTTTCATGCATTCAATCAGAGGCCATGAGTGCATACAACAGCCACGAAGAAGGACGACTTGTGTATCGCTATGGTGGAGAGCCTGTGGGATCTTTCGTACAGCCCTGCCTGAGGCCGTTGATTCCTGGAATTGCTCATGCGCTCTTTATGGATGTTACACATGACAATGAAAGTCCAATAGCAGTAAGAACATTTTACAAATAAAGGAGTAATGATAAAACCAATCTATATATTTTTGGTGGTATTTGATCACCACTGGGTTTTTAATTTTTTTTGCACTATAAACAAAAAAGACGGACAATTTTGAAAAGAAAAAAAACAATATTTTTTACTTTCTGCTATAAAACATATCCAATACAAAAAATGTAAAAATCTAGTTTAGGCCAGTTTGTATTCTGCTACATATTTTTGGTAAAACAAATCCCAGTAAACGTATCTTGACTGGTTAGCACAAAAGTTATAGCGTCTACAAACTATGGTGTATATATACTGGAATTTCTATTTATTTATTTTTTTAATGACGACGGCTTATAGTGGAACTGCAGTATTGCAGCAGACAATCACTGACACTAATATAGTGATCAGTGCTAACAATATACACCATCACTGTATTAACGACACTGGCTGGGAAGGGGTTAAACATCTAGGGTGATCAAAGGGTTAACTGAGTGCATAGCTAGTGGTTATGTGTACCCAGTGTGGTGTTTTTACTAGGTAATATGCTGGATTTTATTCCCAAAATCCAGCACATCACCACTCACAGGACACAGCCCTTCTTGTTTAATTAGGCAGAGCTGTGTCCTGTCTCTCTTCTCACCGATCAGTGTGTGCCAGCAGTCATCCATTGGTCAGCACACACTAACCGGCTTCTGCTGTGACTAATCACAGTAGAAGCGATGTGCCGAGAGAGTGTACGCGCCCCCTAAAGCAGAAAGTGCATCTGCTATAGTGTGGTCCTTAACTGGATATACAAATAGAGGCTGAAAGAGGATTTCCATTTTATACAGAAATCCTTTTTATTCTGATCTCTTCTATTCAGTCATTTAATAGGGTCATCCTCACTTATAGCTTCATGTTTGTTAAGGTATGGAACTGTATCACTTGCAGTACCACTTGGTAGCAAAATCTGGTAAAGCTGCCCGACCTTTCAGAAACAATAGTGCTCTGTAAGTATAAGTGGTCAGAGCTTCAGACGATGGGAAGGGATACAGGATATTTTGTGTTTAACATTTCCTTCTAAGTTAATATCACAATATGCAAGCTACTGTGCCAGGAAAATTGGTACCTACTTAAAAACGGACTCCAGGCAAATGGCTAAGTACATGGCTGAAATACAAAGAAGGGAGCTCTTTTATCTGCCAAAGGATTTGTATTTGTAGGAATCTGGACTGTGCAGAAGAAGCTTATCTCTGGATGAGGTCATCTCTCTGTCACTCTGCTCTCTGCTCCTATCAGCATGCTTCTTGCATTGCAGCACATCTCATAGCTAATGTGCCTTTCAGTGTGTCAGAAGTAGAATTTCACATCACATGGCATTGACATTGTTTTAATGACATGCTTTTTCTTTTGCAGCATAGATCTGCTTATGATTTGTTGCCAAGTTCTGCCATTGTGTCCATGGCTTGCTGTGCCACAGGGAGTACGCGAGGGTATGATGAATTGGTTCCACATCAGGTTGGTTGTGAACTTTTCCATATATAACATGTTTTTTTTTGTGAAGTATTTGTTTCATTAACATGCACAAAGATTAATAGCTAGTTGCACGGTAGTAGAATTCAGATTGACAGACGGCTTCTTCCTGACAGATCTCAGTGGTGTCAGAGGAGAGATTCTATACTAAATGGAAACCAAATCTAAATGCTCCTAGTTCCTCAGAAGTAAATGGAGCGAGTGGGATCATCAAAGGCAAAAACGCTCTGAACAAGCTTCACCAAGAGCTGGCAGCTCACGGATTCATTCAGGTAATATTTTTTGAGTCCACTGTTCCCCTACATATTCGTGTCACACATCATGCATCTAAAACAGGCCATAGATGATACGATTTTCTTTCCTTTCACCACGGGTGTAAGGAATGAAAATCACTCATTTCCCTATCAACACAGTCAGTGTTGATGTAGGAATCCATCCCGCAGTGCTATTGTGCTTTGACGGTAAGGAGCCAGCAGTAACTGCTTGCAAAAAGATTCAACAGCTGGTTGTACTGAAGTAATTTGATGAATCGACTTCAGTACAACCAGCCCGCCCATAGATGGATCGAATTTCAGCCAGTCCCTGCTGAACCGGCCGAGATTCGATCCATCTCTGGCCACTGTCTTCATGTAGCTCTGTAATGTGTCTTACTCAGTACGCCAGTGTTTTCAATGTAGCAGGTCTGTCAACTATGAAACATGTCTTGTAATTATCATCATCAAATCACCGCAAAATAATGGAAAAACCGACCTGTTGTAATTACACTGGTCTACGCTAATACGCTGTAATTAATGACTCCACTGGTAAACTTTAATCACCCTTTGAACATGTCTATTGCTCCAGTTATATAAATGTTTCTGTATTCCTATTTTTCATCTTTGTCATAACTTTTGAAAGAAATATGGAATTCTGATTGCTTTGGCTCTCTGTCTTGCATTAGGTTTATGTGGATCAGGTGGATGAGGATATTGTGGCTGTTACACGGCATTGTCCCCATACACACCAGTCAGTAGTTGCTGTATCCAGAACAGCTTTTAGAGATCCTAAAACATCTTTCTACAGCAAGGAGGTGCCACAGATGTGCATTCCAGGTATCGCTGTAACATCGAATAAATGCGTCTTGTTTATATTTTGCTCTGAGGAAGTTGATTAATGGGTAGATTTGTGTTTGTGAAACGCTCAAATTTTACACAAGTTGGCTTATATAGGAGCTTTTATTCACTTTTTATATTTTTATTAGACAAACAGGATAGTGACAAAAATTAATTTTGGACTTTCTTCTAATGGATTGTATTTCAATACACATGTAATGGTGATAGCACTCTTCCTTATGCAGCTTAGTAAATGCTGCACTGTCACCCTTGCTGCTGCTGTAGCAGCTTAGATGCTGGCATCATTGATAGCCCCTATCCAAGTTGCACTTACCATTAAA